AAGCATATCCAGAAATGGGGGTTGTCCATCAAGCTACTTTTCGAATGTGAATTCATTTCCTGGAAATGTAGAATCCAGCTGCTTGTGGAGGAGGTCTAAATTATTACGTTTTGATGACGACAGACCTGTTATCTACATAAGGCAGCCAGAATTTTGTGGGAAGAGCTATTGATTCCCATTTGCGCAGTTCGGCTTTGGCCAGAAATCCTGGTGTAGGCGAACTCATAGGAGCCCCTTTAAGTTGTTGGTAGCATCTATCGGAGAAGGAACACTTGGTTTCGAGACAAAGATCTAGTAGTTCGAGTAAAGTGTCAGCAGGCACATTGGTAATGTAGGTCAAGTGAAGTCAAGTTTATTATGGGTAATATAAGCAAACGCATTTGAAGTCCCCACTGATACACAGTAGGGAAGAAATGCATCGGTACAGCCTAACATTTTAAAAGAAGTCGTTTACATAATTGTAGGTGACTTCTCGCTTGTTGCTAGTAATACAATCACATGGGGTGATGTCAGTTAACACCAACCAGCAAGTGTAATTGAGCAAAAAGAGCTGACAGTGTAAAAACTTCTAAGGCATTGTTCAGAATTCAAAAGGAGGAATGTAATTTAATGTGGCTTTTAGGAGAAAAACTGCCGCCTGTGGGAGGAAAGTGTGTGGATGATAGGAACGGCATGCTGCTGTGAATGTTTACGGCAAGCCAGCGGAGCCCATTGCGATTACTATCTTCTTCCGAAGGGTCACACGAGGAGGAGACCGTAGAGTCCCGAGAACATCCCGAAGAACCGGAGATGCGACCATTATGCACCCTTGCTGCTTGCCGCGTCTGCAGATAAGGTGATAAAAACAGAGGAAGCCGCAGCGGTTGACAGCAGTCGGTTTTTAGGTGAAAATGAGAAAAGACGTTACAGTGCCACGTAGCCTATGGCCATAGTTGCGACAGAGGAGACTGCTGACTCGATAGTTGCAACTCCCATAGCGAAAAGGAGGCAGCCGGAAGGAATTGGGCTACGAATGGTGAAAATATTTGAGTTAAAAATAATACTACCTAAAATAGCTAGTAGCATTTTCGTATAGCGTGTAGATGATTGATTTCAGAGAAGCTCATGGTTGTTTCACCTGAGGTGGTGGCACGAAGAATGTGCCAGTCAAACTCCATCTAAAAGATGTCCACGGATGGGGATATGACGATGTCTGCAGGTAGAGCATTCCATGTCTGAATTACTTTCTTAGAGAAAAAGAAGAAGAAATAGCTATCCTAGCGTCCCACTGTCTTTGTAGGTAATACCTAAACTGGGAATTGGGATTGCCCACAGACCGCTTTGGACTATCCGACAGCAAATAATGCGAACTAAAGACCCGCTGCCGACAGCGGAACAATCAGCAGTGGTCTACAGCATACCCTACCAAAATTGCAGTGCTAGGTATGTTGGTGATACGGGTA